TCTTTTCAGTGGAACATTTTTTATCTTGCTAGGATTTTATTTACAGATTGGAGGACACAAAACCTCCGCGCTGTCGGTGACATTACAGAGGAGGGTCGGGAACCTTACACATCCTTTGTCTTGTGTTTCCAGGAGGTCTTCTGACCGGGAAGTACCGATATGAAGACAAGGACAAGGAGCTGCCAACCAGTAGATTTTTCGGAAACAGCTGGGCGGAAACCTACAGGAACAGGTGACCCCTCCTCTCCATTCTCCTGCCGTAACACCGGGCCGGGGCCACTGACACCCAATGTATGATTACTCTTATCGCCCTATCGTCACTGACCACTCCCAACTTCATGTGGCCACGCCCTATCATCACTGACCACTCCCAACTTCATGTGGCCACGCCCTATCATCACTGACCATGCCCACCTTCATGTGGCCACGCCCTATCATCACCGACCATGCCCACCTTCATGTGGCCACACCCACCTTCATGTGGCCACGCCCTATCATCACTGACCACCTCCACCTTCATGTGGCCATGCCCTATCATAACTGACCATGACCACCTTCATACCTATCATAACTGACCACTCCCAACTTCATGTGGCCACGCCCTATCATCACTGACCATGCCCACCTTCATGTGGCCACGCCCTATCATCACCGACCATGCCCACCTTCATGTGGCCACACCCACCTTCATGTGGCCACGCCCTATCATCACTGACCACGTCCACCTTCATGTGGCCATGCCCTATCATCACTGACCATGACCACCTTCATGTGGCCACGCCCACCTTCATGTGGCCATGCCCTATCATAACTGACTACGCCCAACTTCATGTGGCCACGCCCTATCATAACTGACTACGCCCAACTTCATGTGGCCACGCCCTATCATAACTGACCACGCCCAACTTCATGTGGCCACGCCCTATCATAACTGACCACGCCCAACTTCATGTGGCCACACCCTATCATCACTGACAATGCCCACCTTCCACGTGGCCACGCCCTATCATCACCGACAATGCCTACCTTCATGTGACCACGCCCTATCACTGAACACACCCACCATCATTTGGCCACACCCCCTTCCCCAGTGATCTTTCTTCCATGTTTTTAAAGTAGATGTTCACCTCTTTGAACTTCAATCTAAAGTGATGCCGTAGGTGTAGACACTCCCCCACACACAGCAGCCCATACCTGTCAATCATTGCACTGCTGGTCTGGTTGCCCCGGGTTACGCTGGCAGTGTAAAGCACACAGCACACAGTACACCGGCGGTGTGGATATTTGGGGGAGGAGCCGAGGGATTAATGGTGGTGTGTGTGTGTCTGGCGGTTCAGGTATTGGAAGAAGCATCACTTTGAAGCCATGGACTTGGTGCGTCGAGCTCTGGAGGAGATGTACAGCGCCGATGTGCGGCCGAGCCTGACCGCAGCCGCCCTGCGATGGATGTACCACCACTCCAAGCTGCAGGTTAGTTCATTAAAGAGAACCTGTCACCGACCTTTCCTTTCCATTTAATGCTTCAGCAATGGGCCTCTGAAAATCTGACTGCTCCAGGAAGAGTCGATTCTCTAGCACAGCCCCCTTTGGAAGACGGGCCAATAATATACCTCCATAAAGGAGCATGCAGCTTGCATTTGAGAGTTCTTGTATGAGGCAGTCATAACCGGTTCTCTTTAGGACCTAAAGCTCTGAATTTGTTCTGTGTTCCGCCATCACTGACGCAGAGTCTCTTGTCCTATCAGGGGAGCCGCGGTGACGCCGTGATCCTGGGGATGTCCACCACGGAGCAGCTGTTGGACAACTTGGCCGGAGCCGAGGCGGGTCCTCTGCTGCCCCCGGTGGTCGCCGCGTTCAACAACGCCTGGAACCTGGTCGCCCACGACTGCCCCAACTACTTCCGCTAGGAGGAATCTGCGACCGCCGCGATTATTTCCTGATTCTCGTCCGCGCCTCCGATTTTAAGGCAGAACTCTGACAAATCAATGAAAACGCATCAAATGTTTGCCGATCTCATAATCGACGCTGAAAGCCCGAGGGGTGACAACACCATACCTGTGACACCTCCCCCACCTCTAGCCTTCTACCTGCACAATAGTGTGCCGTTCTCTTCCTCCCTACAGTGCCTAGTATCTGAAACATGTTAGAGAACAGTCCTATTTCAGGCAGGGGAGCTTAGAGATGGTGGACAGTGAAGGGAATCCCACCCGCAGCCTGATTTCTGACATATGGGGGGGGCGGGGGGGGGATTGGAGGGCAGTAGCTGCACCGACTCCAGCAACAGATTGAAATCACTGGACCACACATGGCGCTGTATATCCACCCGACGTGCAGCCCTCACCCCGATACCGACCGTTCCTCGTGTCACCATCCGGGTTATCGGGAATTGTTAATGATGAAATATATTTGATTTAATAAAATCAGAAGAGAATTATCTGTCGGGGGGGTCAAAGTTCATTGGGCTGTGTGCGAGTGTCGGTGCGGTTTGTTGTCTGTCCTCGAAAAGGTCTCAAATTCCCCGATAAGATATCACGTGTCTGAGTGCGGAACGAACGGTCAGATACCTCAATATGGATAGAAAATGTACATTTAAAATGGTAATACCTTTTATAGGCCCTTCACGGTATTATAATGTCTGCTGCTGGTCGGAATATCCCCATAGAGCCGAGAGAATCCTATCCACAGGGATATTGTACAGACACAGCCGCTGTTCTGTTATTTCCATTACACTGCTATGTATTCATTGTATGTCATACCCCTGACATCTAGTGGTAGATTAGTGTTACTACACTTGTTTTCTGTATACATTGGTATCTTCCACTGTACTTCCCCCCCCCCCATGTTTAATGTCACTTGGTATAGTCCTAGGTAGACCCTCTCTGCTTCTTTGCATGTTCCCTCATTGGCATTGCTAGTCTTCATTGCAGACACTTGGAATGGAAGATTGTCTTCTTACCAGGGGATGCCCCGAAACAGATCAGCCGAAAGAACCATTTTGTAGCTGGAATTGCGGCGCATCTCTCGTTTTTCTTCTCCTCCCCGCTGGGTGCTGCTATATGTCCGCCAGCGGTGCCCGGAGGCTGGGTGTCACCCCGCCGTGACTTCATCACGCACGTGTGTGATGTTATTGCGCATGCACGGTGGTCTTTTTTTAGGGATGCACCGATACCACTTTTTTTTAAGAGCGAGTACCGATACTTTTGATCAGGTACTCGCAGATACCAATTACCGATACGTTTTCTTAAAGGGACAGGTCACATTTTCTTCTAAAGCAATACAAACTAATGCTTTAAGGTCACTTTCTTAATATTATGATTCACGAGATGACGCCGGCTTCCCGGCCAATCAAAATGCCGGGCGCTGCATCATTACACGGCGCCCAGCTTCCAGATTTGCTAGCTTCCTGACCAATCGGGAAGCCGGGCAGCGCGTCATTGCAAGCTACCCGGCTTCCTGATTGGCCGGGAAGTCGGCTACATGCTCTCTCATCACAAGTGACGAGAGAGCATGGAGCCATTTCCTGTCCAATCAGGAAACCGGGTAGCGTGTAATCATGCGCTGCCCAGCTTCCTGATACAGGTACTCGTGCTAGGTATCGGAGCATTTGGGCAAGTACGAGTACTCACCCAAATACTCGGTATCGATACTAGTATCAGTGCAACCCTATCTTTTTTGATGCCATCTTGGTGATGGACGCCGGCCGAGAGAGGAGGGGACGTTCACCCGGAGGGATAAGGTATGCCGCCGGGTCCCCTCCTCTCACCTGACACTGTCGGCTCTCGTGACCAAGCGTCCGACCTATCATAAGGGGTGACAACAAAATGACTGTCAGTCATTTCTGTGGCACCCGGGTGCTGGCCGCACCTCCCAACCCCCTTGTGATGCCACTGATGTCCGCTCTGCCACAGCGCAGCAGGGAGGAGAGAAACTGTCAGCAGGCCGAGCAGAGTGGGGAAGAGAATGCTGTCAGCGGTCTGTGTCACAGAAGGTCGAGCTCTCCTCTCACACCACCTCCCCAGAGTGGGGAGGAGGAGACCTCCCTTGGTGGGGCTCCCCTTCGATTCTCCTCCCCTGGATCGTGTTGGCGATTAACATTTCATAGCCATCTGTACCAGGGACCCCGACTTTAAAACACACGATCTCTTGAACAGTTGGTTAACCACAAGAGAGGCAGCAGCCTAGGACCACAGCTAGTCACCTTACAGAGCGCGCACACACACACACGGGACTGTGTGATCTGACTGCTACTCATAAACATTCACTGAACGGGCAGACCGATCACACAGTCTGATCTTTTACTAGCGGCGGGTGTTAAGAATAGAGTTGCCCCTCCCTCCCCTCTGCAGGCGCTAAAATCCAGCGTGCACTGGTGCTGCGAGAGGCGAGCACGCTTCATCAGCCCTCAAGTATTAGCTTCCTTGCTAGCAGCGGGCTGCGCAACCAGGCTCCTCAGCAACCACAGGATGGATCGGAACCAGACCAAGTGCTACATGTACTAGGCCTCAGGGGGGGATTTAAAGGAGAACTATGAGGGGGGTGCTTTTCACTCATCTCATAGTTCTAGCCGACCTGTGACAATGAGACTGTCACAGGTCGGCTCAGTAGATCAGGAGGTGAGCGAACACATACCGGCGTTCGCTCACTTCTCGATCCTGTCACGGCTCTCTGGCGTGACAGGGGAGGGGCTGGATTCCCCGCTCCGCCAGCGCTGACTGGCGGGAGGGTACAGCTGGCTCTGCCTCTAGATAGGCAGAGCCAGCTGTCACTCACGCAGCTGGGCGGATCCCGACATCCAGGTCGGGATCTGCTCCAGCGTCTCAGTATACCGCGAGCTGTAGCTCCCTATATACTGAGCCTAGGGTGACGGGAGGACGCTAGTTTGTGTCCTCCCGTTACCCTGAGGAGAACTATGGGGAAAACCCCTGACCCCCCATAGTTCTTCTTTAATAAGTATTTATGATATCTGATGATACGTCTTGTTTACGTCTAAAAGAAAAACAACATCACACAACAATAAATTCAGTTTGTTTATAAACTAAAAAAAAAAAAAATTCTACTGGATAACTGGGATACTTTTAGAGCCTGCACAGTCCCAACAGCACCAGATCACGACTCGTCACAATACAGCCAATAGGAAAACTGGTTTGTAAGGTGTCTGTGAAACAGTGGAGGCCAATAAAGTGGACCTGTCTTCAGATGTGCGGTCATGTGATCTCCAGATGTGCGGTCATGTGATCTTCGGACCGCAGAGGTAAACACAGGGACCGTGGAGGGTGTTATGTACACGTCATCTGGTGCGTCTGTTAAAACACAGTAATAGGATTGTTCCGCTCGGAACATGAACAGAGTCTCCAGGAACCATTTCCCACTAATCAGACACTGGTGTATGCACAGAGGTAACGCATGTCACATGATACATCTCCGCTCACAGAATGAGGGGTTCATCCTTCAGCTCCGCTGCATCATCATCCTCATCATCATCATCATCCTCTTCCATCTCCTCTGCATCATTTTCATTGTTGGCTGAAAGCTTCTGGAACTCTCCCGTCTCTGATGACCACATGGACTTTAAGGTGACTTTAAACTCCGCCATCTGATAACCAAATAATTTCTGTAGAAGGAGGAGGGGGAGAGGGGGATACACGAGGCTCAGATTATAGAATTACGAAGAAAAAGAAATCTGGCTTTGGTATAAATTCTATCAGGTATTTAACCCCTTCATGACTGAGGCCCTTTTTTCATTTTTTGCACCCATGTTATATTCCACATTTTAGGCCTGAAAATGACGTAAAACCCCCCAACATTATATATTTTCTGAATGCCAAGACCCTATAGAATAATTAAGAGACACAGGAATTCTTAGAATGTCAGACTCCTGCAGGTGGCAGTATATCCCAGCAGTCTTGTGTCTCTCAATGGACAATACAGAAAGATGGATTTGGCCTATTGGTCCCCTTTCACATCGCCCCGTGTCCTTTGACCTTTCAAAGAGAACTATGGGGTAAGTATTTTCCCCATAGTTCTCCTAAGGGTCACGTGAGGACATATACTAGTGTCCTCCTGTCACCCTAAGCTCAGTATATAGAGAGCTACAGCTCGCGGTATACCAAGACTGCCGCAGCCGGGACGGATCCCGATATTACTGTCTGTATCCGCCCCCAGCTGCGTGATTGACAGCTGGCTCTGCCTATCTAGAGCCAGCTGTACCCGCACCTCCCCCGTCCGTTCCACCAGTCAGCGCTGGCGGATCGGATTTGGCTGCCATTGTATCTTCCTCCCACGCAGCACCCCCGGCTATAGCAGGAACTTAGATAGAGCCCTAACGGGCTAATAGCCAAACATACACATACCCAGAACCTACATCTATCAAAAGGGACCCTTCCTCTTGCCCAATGGACACCCACTGTAACGTTTACTCACCAGTAAGCGGGCCTGCTCCGGGGTCAGGGTGTCCCCATCTTTACACATCTCATAATCCGACAACAGAGTCACCACCCCTGCAAGAGGAGAACAAGCCGATCAATAAAACAATCACATTTTCTTCCGGCGCATTCCGTCACATAAACCTGGTAAAGGGGCTGTAAAGCCGAATGATTTCTTTATAATTCTAAGTTAGGAATTTCCTCCAAAATAAAATAAGGGAGCAGTGTATAAAAGATGCTTCTGAATATTCATTGTGTGTGTTCCGGGTCATGTGACCACCTTGCTTTTCTCCAATCCGAATAGACGAGGTGGTGGACGGGACCGGCGGGAAACTACAATGAAAGGACAAGCTGCTGTCAGCCATGCGCTCTTACCAGCGGCACCGCCTGATGGGGCGGGTAACAGTGTTTGACATTAGCTCCTCCGGTCAGTGCATGTTCACGGCAGAGCAGACTGGTACCGCCCACTGCCCCAGGCCATTCGGATCATGAAAGAGCCGGCGGAGTATTATGTAGACATTACATTTTCTATAAGTATGACCCGGAGATCTTACAGGGGTGGTGGCAACGCTGCAGAGGGTAGATGAGCCTGCAGATTGTCGCCACCTCTAACAAGCATGGGCAAGCCTTAAAAGGAGGACTATGGGGTCAGGATTTCTCCCCATAGTTCTCCTAAAGGTCACGGGAGAAACTAACACCCGTGACCCAAAGCTCAGTATACCGCAAGCTACAGCTCACGGTATGCTGAGACGCCGGAACGGATCCCGACAATGCTGTCTGGACTGAGTGACAGCAGGCTCTGCCTATCTAGAGGCGGAGCCAGCTGTGCCCACCCCTCCCCCGTCCGTTCAGCCAGTCAGCGCTGGAGGATCGGACAGGGGAAGGGGAATCCCTGCAGGGAGCCGCGAGTGACAGTCACGGCTCTCTGCAGGGATAGATCGAGAAGTGAGGCACGGTATGTGTTCGCTCACTTCCCGATCTACTGAGCCGACGTGTGACAGTCTCATTGTCACAGGTCGGCTCAGATTATGAGGCTGCGTGAAAATCACTCGCCTCATAGTTCTCCTTTAAGAAGAAATAAAACGCATCTTAATGGTGTCCTCACCTTTCTTCAGCGCAGTGGGAAGGCCCAGCTGACGTAACTGTGGCTCCATGGAGTGTGTAAACTGTTCCAGGGGCCCGGCGTCCAGCACCACACTGTATGTGGCTTTATTTCCGGCCCGAGCAAAATCAATCTCTTTAAACTCATTAAACAGACTGCAAAAAAACCAAACACAATCTAACAGGAAGTGAACACGTTATATTCTTACTCTTTGACTTCTTCCTGTGTGCGGTTGGTACACAGCAGTCCGACCTCCCCCCTCAGACACTTGCTGAGCTGGAGAAAGACAAAAGGTTCGATTATTACTGAGGGCCAATGGCGGTCAGAGGCAAGTTCATCGGTTTCCGGGTCCCCTCACCTGGTGTAAGTTGTCTTTATATTCATCACTGGGCCCCCTTCCCAACGCCACAACCATCACTTTGTTCTTCCCAAAGAATAACCTGAAAAAACACAAATTATCAAAAAGGGAACTTTGTACAAA